AAAATGAGCACTCAATGGCGAACAATTTCTGTACCATAATGAACAATGAAACCCATGGTAAAACCAAACCATGACCGTAGATTAGCATTTGTCCGCAGCGTCAATCGGTTACTGTAATTTCGAGAAGAGCGAAGAACGGTTTCTGGTCGAAAAGGCAAAACGTCGATGTCTCGTCGCTACTCGATCTGATGGCACCGTTGGTGACGATGTTGCTGTCCTGAAAAAAAAGGAATGCTACCAACCGAAACCGAACATTGACCACGACAGGAGAGAAAGAGAGACGTAGCCCGAACGGCGGTCTTGGAGACGCAGCCTCACGACCGAGCTTTACTCTGGGGCCGGGTGCGCTATTAATGAGCCTTGTGTTGAAGAAACGCTTCCAAACGACCTTCATACTTTGACGAGTCGAGCAACTTGCCATTCAAGGCTCGAGCACGCTTTCCGCGGTTCTTATGCGCCCACTCTATCTGTCGCAATCCGGTTTCGTCGCTTCTTGCCAAATCACCGACCTCCTAAGTCACGTGTGAGGAACACGGGCGCATAACGTAACGGGTGACACGACGCGAGTTGAGTTCATGACCATGCCCGGTCCCCCTTTCAGATGAACTGGAACTAGGTCCACGCGGCAGCTGCAACGTCTGCGCGTTTCTGACCCACCAACGTGCCAGAACAGCCTTACCTTGCAGGCAAGTCTCTCTTCTAACCTTGAGACATGCGACACGCCGTAAAAAGCTCAAAATGCATTCCATTCTAATGGTAGTAAATCCTTGTATCGTTGTAAACCGTTTTGGTACTCTATCACGCCAGCCTGTCCCCTGTCAGCAGCCACTGTTTGGACTCAGATGAGCTCCAATCCTTGCAGCTTCCCCCATAAAAGTAACATTTTCTTGCATGTGCTCTACCACTACACAAAAACGAATAATACGAAAATACCATTGCTTTGAGTTTTGTTTTCTGTTGCCTCATTTGTCACTCATAAAGATGACGGATCTTATGAGCATTTCCTAGACAACTCGTTGATCAGCCAGGCATAATTTACTCTGCGTTCACGTCTGTTGCCTAACTTTCAGTCATCGAAAATAAATAAGCGAACAAAGTTATGGAGGAGATCTCATCAAGAGAAAACTTCCACGTAACTGTAGCCTTATCAAAGCCTATCATTCATCCTGAAACTTTCGACCGAGAAGCTCTGATCAGCACGGCTGAAGATCACTTTAGGCCTATCGATCAGTTCTACCCAGAGGCACAAAACGCTCTGCCAACCCACCTAACGCGAAAAACGAGGTTATGTGTCCATCTTAATTATTGAAAGTACGGCCAAATCATTTCATCATGTCGTCTATAGTCTGAACAACGAACGGCGACTCATAAGCAAGAAAGATCCGGACAATGCTTGAACGATGATATCAGGACTTGAAAAAGAAATTATAGTTCATAAGCTGATTGAATTGTAGAGACCTAAATATGTAACCCTGCATTTATCTGTCTGCCGGTTGTTGCGGCGTCGTACTATTACCTTCTTACAACGAAAAAACCGAATGGGCATGGTGGGACTGCTTATGACCCGCGCCTTAATGTCTGTCCTTACAAACACGTCGCACCTACGCTCTTCGGTCTGTCTTGGCTTTGTCAAATCGCACTTTTAAAATTATGTTAAATCCATCTGTTTTCAATATTCATGAATAATATGCATGCTTTTCCTTCAAACCAAAATCCATGAAACTTTGTCTCTTCTCTACGTTCACTGAAGTGAAAAGCAATCGCTCTGAGCATATGTGAACAAAACCACAAAATACACTACAAAATACTCCCTCCATCATCGAAGTGCCAGTAGAAGAAAGTGAGGAAAGAACGTAGCTTGTCGATGCTGTAAACTGCATTGAAAACGTTGTTGTCTTTGTTGTGATAATCATCTCAAGCCATTTGCATAAGCAGAAGGTATGTGGCATGCGCAAAGTTTGCAGCTTTTGAACACTTGCGATGTAAAACATCGGTTACTGTAGCGCAAAAGTAAATATTCCCCTCCAGAAACAAATTTGCCTTTACATCGACCCTCAGTTCTATGCTGACCTCTTGGATGATATCGCTGTATTTGAATCAACATACAAGAAACTCACAGCCTAGAGTAAATGGTGTACGATCACGCAGCAGGGTCAACCTCTTGTTCTTAATCTCTAGCCGTATCGAGGTCACCTGTGCCCAAAAGAGAACAGACTCATTCCTTACGGGATATTCTTCCGCCGTTTAACCCTTGTCATGCATCGAAGCCAACGCAACTGTATGCAGTTCAGCCATAAATATTTCTCCTTCACTAGAATGACTGTCTCCATGCCGTGCAACCACATTGAGCTGACCGATGCAAGGTGCGGGCGGATTTTCATAGGAATGGTACCTCCTTTCTCAGCCCAAATATTGGACAGATTTTCAAAAGCACTGAAGGAAAGGTGATCCTCTCATTTAATTTTCGCTTGATTATGCCATCGCTGGAAATGATGGATCTAAAACATTTAAATTGGTTAACCTTCCGAAGGACTTAACCTTCATGTCCTTTTAGTAGATCACCTGTGCCGGATGTTACTCAACTTTTTTACTTCATGGCGTTAAGGAAGACGCAAGATTTCCCAACTGTTTCATGCGGAAGCCATCAGTTTACAGACCCTCCGACCCTATTACTTTCCCAAATAATATTATCCGCGTCCTCCAGGTCATCAGTGTATTTGCCGGATATCTTGAACCCTGTCCCCCAGAATGAGACCATTGTCTTCACCGTTGTCGGCACTATTTCAGAGAATAATTTCGATGGAAAAT